CCTAAACATAACAATATATTACTCTCGTTGGCTCTTGACTGATAAAGCGGTGTATTGTGTACCTACCTATAATAAAGATCAGCTGATATATTATTATTTTCATTTTTAAGATGGTATGGATTTAAATCGACAATATTATTATGAATATACCGTCTTGATGGTCCACAGTGCCCATTTTGTGCACGGGCTTAGGTTGGTGGTAGTTGCATATCTACACACAATGGCATTCGTACAACGATATATGTATATTTTTTTTTTCAGAAAACGTCCGAAAAAAGGCTCTCCCGTAAGTGTTGAACTATTGATCTGACGCTTTTCTGAATTGGTACGGGTCGACTGCCTACGACACAATAATTGTAAGCCAAATATGTGCCACTATATTGAGTAAAAGGCGGTGTAGTCAAGTTAAATTTTAAAGCGACTACAGGAAAGTCGAGCACGACCATAGACGTATAATAGTTGCAGCGTCGTTCACCTATACCGAACTCGGGTTTGTGATTATTTTTTCCCGTGATTTTCGTGTTGTTTACATTTTATACCGCAATAAGTCAAGACTTTAGTATTCGACAACATAGCTCATTGTATGAGTTATTTATTCAACCCTATTCGTTATATATTTTCATAACTTGGGGTCATATAATGCCCAACAATAAATCCGATTTGTTAGATATTTACATTCATACATCTGCTGTGTTTATATATGAATAACATCCCATGTGAATTAGGTTTAGTGACACTATTGCTAGTCGGGATAGAATTTATTATAAATGATAACTAGAAAAATGAATGGTAGGATTTATTAAGTTTGGTACAGTGTGTCCTGCGGGAATTCTACGACGGTTCAATTAGTTTTCAAGTATATTTGATTAAAAGTAAAGTCAAACAATATTTACAAGTTTGACATATTTTGATTTAAAATATAACTGACTGAAGTATACATAATATAATATTATATAGGTACTCGCTAATTCAAATAATATAAATTTAAATACTTTTGTATTAGTTTTGTAGTTGGACAATAAGCTTTTTTTATTTTATTTTTTACCCTTGAAATCGAAACAATTGTTAAGTACAATTATTTGTAAATTCTATCATATTTTAAATTTGTATTTACGTTTACGATACTTTACGTTCATTTCAACAATATTTATTATCTCTCGAGGCTGTTGACGACCTGTAAATAGGTATTAGGTACCTATCAAAAATAGTTGCAAAAACTATTTAATTGAATTGAGAATTTCTCAAATTCAAATAATTGAATTTCTTATTACAAAACTACATAACATTGATGTACTATACATACTTGGTAATAAATTAAAATTTCAATAATTATTTTTCATTTGATTCGTTTTTAACAATTTAAAATATGTGTTAAGAAAAGATATTTTTAAACCTTATTTTGAGTTGTTTTCATAAAACTTTTTTAATTTGGGATAAAACAACTGATAAAGTATTTTATAGCTTATAAGGAAATTCTATTTGTACATGCCATACCAAAATATTGTTTTGTATAGAATATGAATTTCTGTAAACATTTGATTTTTTAATACTACGTTTAACAAAATTATAATTTTTACTATAGGTTATTAAGTATAATATTACCTAGGTTAAGTAATTTTTATTTATTACATTTTTAGATATTTTAAAGTATTTGAATGCATTTTATTTTATTTTTAATTACAATTTTACAAAATGTGTTCTAAATTTACGTATTTTAAATACTTGAAACGAAAATATTTATTTTTGTATCATATAATGTGTGTCTCAATTTGTTTTATCTCATAATGTTCGATTGAATGGATTGATTTATCGATATAACCGGGAAAAGAAATTATGAGTTGTATAGACTGTATAGTACATGTTCTATAAAAGAAGTTCTATTTAGTGGTTTCCTGTCAACCTTTCGTCCTGTGTCACGTGCGTACCCTAGTGAGTATATATTCTTAACTGTACGAAATAGTGTATTTCAAATTCGAGACCATGGTTTCTGTTGAAATAAGTTTTTCATTTTATAAAAGTATTTTATCAGATCACCGATAAAGATTTTTATTTGAAAATATATATATAAAAAAAAAAAATTAATCGGTCAACGCAACTGGACATTATAGGTGAAAATACCTATTTTATAAAATATAGCTTGGTAGATGAGAGAAACTGAAGTAATATTCTATATTATTTTTAAGGGATTCACACATCATATGTTCAAGTGGTTTTACGTTGGATTAGAATATTTTTTTCTACTATTTGCTATTTGAGTATATTATATATAATTATATAACAGATCTTATAATTTATAATTTTTAACTAACTGCTTAAACATGTGATAGCCATGATAGTACTTAGCTGGTATATTAAATTGTTTATTTATTTATATAAAAATGATGAACAATAAAAAATTACATGTAAATATCATAAGGTAACAAGTTTTGTATAGTTAACATAATTATTTAAAAATTATTAAAGAGTCAAAATCTAGGGTCCTCATTTACGAGATACGGCAAACTGAGAAAAGGAGATTTTAAAGGTAGTTAGTGGTAGAGAGAGGAATGATATAAGAAGTAGAGAATCTAAGTTGACGGATAGGCCGATCAAATTATTATAAGATATAATAATAATAATATTAATAACAATAAATAATTTGAAATATTTATATTTTAATTTTTTGGGGGTTTTTTAAAAATAATTTAAAGTGCTTTTTTCAAGTTTTATCGAGTTACAAAACCATAACTCTAGTAATAATCATATTATTATATGACATTTTTACCAGACAACACGGGCATTTTGATATTTTAATAACTAATTTTTCTCTGTGTCACGTGATACTTATAATTTATAAATTATAACCATTTTTCTTATACTATATATTATTGATATATAAATCATAAACTTTCTTAATAAAAATATAATAATGAATATTTATTTTTTACTTATTCAAATATTTCTATCAGATTCGTCACAGTGAAATACATAATAATACATTTGTATCCTCAATTATGAAATTTAACTCATACACATGCAGAATGTAACATTCATATTATTGCATTTATAGTTTATTGTTATGTGTTTATACTTAATATACTATGAGATAACTATTCCAATTATGTTTGAGTTTGTAATTTATTCAATAAAAGATTATTCCTGTATTATTACGTTTACTACGAAACATTGATAAGAACAACGGTTATTTCCTTAATATTCTACTTTCGAGGGGGAACGTGTACGCACTACAAGTACGGCAGGCGAACAGTTTTAAGATTACTAGGTAAATACGAAATATATGTACTGGGAAATCCGTTTCATACAAACTTACTCACTACCCAGTACCTATATTAGACTTATTGCTTTTTTCCTCAGCTTATGTACCACACTCAGCTAGAATTATAAACTGTGTGAGTACCTAGGTACTACGTTTTAAAGAACAGGCTTATCTATTCAGATTTATTGCTTTCCATTCAAGTATACAAAAAAAAACAACATATAATTGGACGTCATCAACTTACTGAAGAATACGTAAAAGCAAGACTCTTAACATAATATTATGGACTTGTATATAAATAGATGGTAAATAAAGTTATTATACTGCTGTACATCTGTTGCATGGCAATATTAATGATACTATAAGTACCACCCGGTGTTTGGGAAGTTGTTATTTTTGGTAATTAAATAATATTTTGAATTACCTTTTGAAATTATAGTTAAGATATTATTAAGTTATTTTTTTTATTTGGCTAAGTTACATAACTTTTGAAATAAAAAAGTAATGTTATTACAATTAAAGTTATTTTTTATAAAGCTGACAAATATCACTGGGGTTTGATAGTTATGGTGTTGACATATTGTCAATATTTTGTCTAAGTAATGACAATCAACAATAATAAATTATATAAAATGTTTGTTTAAGAATTCTAATTAGACGATAATATTGCTTAACACATATTACTTTTTATTTATTAATTTTTAATTATATTTAATACATTTTAAATAACAAATAATATATTGCTGAAAATAAAAATGTGTGTCAAATACAATATTTGGCTATTACAAAAATATTATTTTCAGAAATTTGAAACTGTATGATATGTTTATATTGTTATATATTATTAATTGGTTCTTATGTTTTAAAAAAAAATAAAGGAAAAGTAGATACCTAATTTAGTAATTTTGTTACAAAATGTAACATAAATTGTGTATAAATTACTTACAATAAAATAAAATAAAATGTCTTAAAAAGTAATCGTCATAGTTAGGTAGGTACTTGTAACATAAGATATTAAGTTACTTGTCAAAATTGATATCCCCATGTTATTTACATTCTAAAATATAGATAATAAGTTAAATAATATGATCTACGAATAAAATTAATTTGAAAAATCCTCTCTGGATTCAGACACCGTTTGGACACTCGCCTAATTTGGCTCCTTTGGTTCAATATAGTGGTTGTAAATATTATTTTAACCATGTTATAAATAAAATCTATGATGAATTGAACAACTCTGAGTGGAGCTCAATTTCCTAAGCCCACCACTTTCCTGTATTTGTTAAATATGTTTCATAGATAAGACTTGTTTATCTCTCGCCAAGAAATCCAAACTTTTGTCACTTAAAAGCACTGTCTATCTAGATAATATAAATTCTGCATATTTAGAGGTGCTTCTTGAATTTTTTTTAGAATTCGAAAAATAGTTCATATGAGAAATTTATCAACATAATTTAAATACCAATTCATACCTAAGAATCTAAAACTGTAAACAATGTTACATTCGTAAAAAAAAATAACAATTCGAATATCGCCAGTGCCGCATTTAGGGGGGGGGGGCACTGGCTACAACTGCCCGGGGCGCCAGTATTTTGGGGGCGCCGAAATTTTGTGGTCGGAAATAAAAAAATTAATAAAAATAAAATGAAAAATGAACTTTTAAAATGTAAATTATTTTAATAACAGACAACAGTAGGTATTATATAATATTAATGTATTATGCTGTTTGAAATTAAAACAACTAATGTATTACGCCGGACTGCAAGCAAAAATAAAAGAAGCCAATCCCTTAGCAAAATTTGTACCATGCTCTGCGCATTCCCTTAACCTGGTTGGAACTAATGCAGTTGATTGTTGTACTCAAGCCGTTTTATTCTTCAATTTACTTCAAAATGTTTACACGTTTTTCACAGGTTCTACTCACCGCTGGAAAGTTCTAAACGCTTCTGTTAAGGGACTTTCAGAAACAAGATGGTCTGCTAGAGATGACGCTTGCCAATCTCTGAACAAAAACTGGTGCAAATTAATGCATTAAATTTAATAAATAATGATGATACTGAGAAAACACTTACTCGAAATGAAGCTAGTGGAATTCTCAACAAGTTAAATAATTTAGAAACTGCGTTCCTATCTATATTCTGGGGTCAAATATTACACCGATTCAACTTAACGAGCAAGAAATTACAAGCTGTCAATATCGATTTGGGTGTAGTGTGTGAATTGTATAAATCATTAATAACATATATCATTGATTTACGCTCTGATAAAAACTATGAGTATTTTAAACAATGTGCAATTGAAAAAAGTAAAATTAAGCAGTTTCAATCCTGTACCAAACGATTAAAAATAAGAAAACAATTTTTTGATGAAGGGCCATCTAAAGAAACAACAGTTGAATACTCTGATTTTAAAGTGAAAACTTATTTTGTTATACTTGATCAACTGCGGTCACAACTAGAAAAAAGAAATGAAAAATATGAAAATCTACTTAAAAATTACAACTTCTTTTTCAAATTAACAGAGATGACATCAATGAAAGTCCGAAAGAATGCTGAAATACTACAAAATGAATATAAAGATGATCTCAGTACTTTATTTGCTAATGAATGTGTTCATTTTAGGAGCCACTTATTAAGTATCGGTGACGAGGCTCCTAAGACTATCCAGGATATGTGTGGTTTTTTGAGAAAAAATGATTTAATAGGAATGTACCCTTATATAGATGTATCTCTCAGAATGCTATTATGTACTCCTGTAAGTAATTGCTCGACCGAACGGTCATTCTCATGTTTAAAACGTGTCAAAACATATCTGAGGTCTTGTATCTCAGCAGAGAGACTCAGTGATTTAGCTATTATGAATATAGAATCTGATGTAACAGCTAAAATTGAATTTGATGATATTATCAATGAATTTGCTACACTACAAAGTAGAAGAAAAATTTAGGTACCTAAACAAATATTTTATTATATTTTTATATTGTTCTTATTAATATTTGTACTTATTTTTAAAAAAATAAACCATAAGTTTGCACATAGTTTATATTAATATGATCCATGAAGTAAATACCTAAATATGTAAAAAAAAAAAAAACATATGATGTAAATTATAAGCAGGACTCAAGTGGAATACACTCAATTGTATATATGGGGGGGGCGGGGGGAGTGTTCATGAAAATATTAAACAATATTTTTAAAAAAAACACATTATTGTAAAACAATATTCTTTTCTTTGCTCAAAATTTAAAAGGTTCATGAGAATTTATCCTCCATATTTCCCATATATGGGGTTAGGCCTCATACGGGGGCGCCAAATTTTTTTTGCACCGCAGCACAAAATGTCTAAATGCGGCACTGAATATCGCAAAGTACAAAAGTCTCAGTTAGGTGTCACACTCATTACTAGGGGATACATTATAGCAATAATTAACAATTAACAAAATCACGTTTAACGTTTAGGATCACCAAAGATACCCTAGTAATTGACGAAAAATTGATTGTGTTTCGGCTATCACACGATTGGGCAAAATAAAACACTTTTTACGACAAGACTGAGGAAATTTGTCGGTGTGCCTATCAAAGGATATAGAAATATGAAAGAAGACCTTCACGATTAAACATAAAAAATCCTGAGATATGGCAGAATTTTCCAACATTTTGAACTACTTTATATAATAAATATTAATTAAAATAACTACAATAACACAAATATCTATGGTATGTTTTAAAAAATAACACAGGGTTCTACCTGACCTCCATCTCAAAATATTATCTTTTATCCGCTCACCAATTAATTTATACTTGTACAAATTGAATAGTGTCAATTCTTTACCTCTTTCCGTTAAAATTGTCTGTAGGTATATTATTTATACTTTCCATAAAAAAATAATAAAAAAATAAAACACATTCAAACTTTTTTAACCACTGAAATATGTGAAGCACTATAGTTGATCGAGCACTCTAAACTGAATTATTTCTATATAATAATTTTAGAACAGTCATATTTATCTTAATAATTTGAATTACCATCAGTGGCGGATCTAGAGGGAGGGGGGCAACGGGGGTATTTGCCCCCTACAAAATTAAACTCTGCAGGATCCGCCACTGATGACCATTCTAACATTGTCGATAAAGCTTGGCTCGCCTCACGACTAACGGCTCGTGGTTCTTGTAAATAGTGGTATCGTAGTAATTATTGGTATAATAATACGTGAACATAATAAATTTAAAAAAAAATGTTTTGAATGTGGCAACGTTGTATAAAATATTCTACGCTCAATCGTGTTCTACCATTTCTGCATTCCGATTAAAAATCATGACTAAATAACAATTTGTCTGTTTAACGGAATAGATTTACCTACTTAACATTTGGATTTTGTACTATTTTCGCCGTTTTCGGTAAAAGACGTTGACATGCCACATTTAATTATTTATGCAAAGTTTGAAATTATATTGAGACAAACGCAATGAGTGACCGAAATACTAAACGCAGAAGATATCATTGCGTTCAATAATTTCGATGATTTTTTGAAAAGTGAATTTTATGATACGCATTTATTCATTTTTAATTTTCAGATGTTATTTATTATGTTTAGATATTGTGTGAAACATTTGCATTTGTGTATCGCATAATATTATAACGAGTTCTATTAGCCTGGTTCATAGGTTAAGTTCTGACACCTATACCTAAAGATTAAGATACAATTTCTGTTCAAAAAAACTTCGAGTGTACATTTTTTTTTCACAGAGTCTAGAGCTTTTATTATATGAAAGAAAACTCTGGGAAACAATTTTTAAAACGTGTACTTAATTTATCTTTTTAGTATTTACCTTTATTAAATTTTAACTTTAATAATGAAAATAAATGATTGTGTTTATTATTTTGTATTCTTGGTAGTCCTGCGTATCTAAAATACTCGTGTAATGTCTGAGAGAGATAAATATTTAAGAACTGAATAATTATATTATTATTTAATGTAGTCTCGGGACGTAAGCAATCAACTTCTATAAATTGTATTTTAACTGTTAATATACGAGTTATAATAATATTTGTGTACCAACTTCTGAATTTGAGTGTTTTTGTGATGTGAAAATAATCATAGCCAAGTGATTTGTAACATTTTTTTAAATTGTTTGAGTAAAAAAAGTTTTGAAACCTATATACATGTTTTCTTTTAAAACAATATTAAAAAAAATATATATGCAGTATACGGTAGCTAGGTAATATATATATTAGAATAAGTGAAAAATCTAATTTATTTTGTTTGTTTGTAATTTAAAGATTATGTTAGTGCTGTCATATTAATATAATATTATGTTAAATAAGTAATTTTGTTTTTATCGCATGAATCGTAATGATAATAATGATATATTATCGGATATCATTATAAACTAAGTATTTCTATTATTATCTAAAATATTAAAAAATAAAGATCAATAAAACCAGTCTATGTCCAAACGACTAAGTGTATTGTTGTTCACCTACCTTCATATAATATTACACGTCGAGAAATACACGTCTTGTCCACACAATAAGTGCTTCTTTACATTGTTTTTAATATAGAAGGTAAGTATACTTAGGTTTCCTTTAATGCATTAACTACTTGATTAAAATTATATTACACTAAGTATAGAAAATGTCAACGTTGAAAATATTATGATTTTAAGCATATATATAAAATACATATCACTTTTTAATTTAACCAATAATTCTTATAGTTATTACTGTATTTAAAAATGTAAATAGTTTGTATTAATAATAATTTAGTTGTAAGGAAAATTTAAATTTCCGATAGTTATTTTTTCTAAAATTTCCTGTTATTGTTCTTAATTTCTTATACCTACCGAGAATAGCAATTTGAATACATACGTGGTACCTTCAGTTTCGATTTCATTGTACATGCACTTAATTAAGTTAGAAAAACTACATAAACATTAAAATGTATATAACATCCTGAGCTCAACCTACAACCATACTTTAATTACGATACCCGTCATATTAAAATTTAACACGGCCATAAATTAATTCATTGCTGTACTGTAATTAAAGTAGCTTCTTATACAACATGTGCATTTTGTTAGCTTTTTTATTTATTATTTATTATCAATTATCATTTATTTCTAACTAAACTACATAATATGTGTATCAATGTTGATAAAAATATATTATTTGAGTTTTTTTTTTTTTTTTTTTTTATTGAACGTAAGCCCGGCAACTGTGGCCATTAGCTGTATGGTTTGTTTGTAGGTGTATTGTATTGTTGGTTGTAGTTGGGGGGGGGGAACACGTGTGTGTTGGGTTTTGGCAGAATTTTCAATTTGGGCACCCGTAGGTATCTGCCATGCCCCGGGGGGGGGATGGCGGCACTTGTTCTCCGGACACCGTGACTTGCCCGAAGAAAAGTGCCGCCCAGTGGCCGGGAATCGATCCAGCGTCGGCAGCGTCGCGACCGACGCCTTAGACCGCTCGGCCACCTCGTCCCCTATTTGAGTTTATTGGTACTTTAAATAATATTTTAATTAATGTTATTCTTATTATTAATATATTTATGTGCATACTTTTTTTCTATATTTTAGAGACATTGATTTTTGTTGAGAGACATATTTCTCAGCGTGATATAACAGTAGGCAATTCAAATGTTTAATCCATTATAATATTAACTACTTTCTCAGATTGAATATCATAGGTAGGTATATGGAAATTTAAATAAAAAGTTAGAAACACGGATTCGTATTATACAGGGAAAATAATAATATAATATTAATTGATATCTGCTGACTGCTTCATCTAATAAAAAGTTAAATCCAAAATGTTCCAATTTGAAATATGAATTTTTTTTTTAAATTTGATTTATACAGAAATCACAAAATATAATGTGATGTATTAAGATTTCAATATTTATTTCCACACTAGATTTGTTTCTTAAAAACTTAATATCTATTGCAGAAATGGAAGCTCAAAATGTCAGTACTCGGATTAGTGAAATGGAAGTCTAGTTCAATAGTTTATCAAGTATTGACATGATTCTTAGTTAGTAACAGAGAATATTGTTCAAATGTAATAAAATTTAAGTTTTAAATGTAAAATACTACAATAATGACATGCCAAAGAATGGACTTCTATAAAAGTATGGTCGACGTTTGATTTATTGAAATTTGGTAAGCGAACTTTGTACAACGGAATAAGTAAACGTTCATCGAAACTATTGTCAAAGGTTCGTGATATTTTAGTCAATATCGTTACTTTGTTCATAAACGTCCAACGTCTGTAATTGACTTCTAAAATAAACAGCGGTAAGTACCTATAATACTTCTGTAGGGTAGTGACTGCCGCAGTGTTCGAAACTGACATTTTAACGGAAGACAGTAATTTTATTGTTTCGGGAATACTTTGAGCAAAAAGTTATTTAAATAAGAGATGAACGAAAAACGGAAAGAGGTTTGATAATTTATGTCACCAGTCACCGGTGCTTCTGCAGCCGTATCCAGAAAAACCGTCTATAATTTGTCGAGATCATTTTAATAGGTTTAACATAAAATATGTTTATTTATAATTCGTTAAGTGAATTTATTATAAGTGCCTGCGGATGCGTATCAAATGAGATTACCTATCGCGATGGTTTAAAACAATTCACCAAGATGAAATATTACGCTATCGTCGAGGGTGTTGGTATTATTATCATTAAAGCTGTCGTTTTTAAAGACGTTACCCGACCATAGTGACGTGTGAATGGGACATAATCAAATGCCATAGTACTCGGTTTCGATAACTTACTATACTGTTTAACACTTTCCACGTATAATTAATACGCATTATTATGCAGTAGTATGTAAATTCGTGAAAATTATCTGGAATATTATATTGTAACGTATATCGACTACCTACTCGGTTAGGTTTCGTTCATCGTCCCAGCACTAAAATACGGTATTATGCGTGCTCCTAAATCATCTCATACACAGATTATTGTGTTGTTGTTAGATAACAACCTTTGAACTACTCGATGGGAGCTTTTGCGCTGAAGGCCGATCACGATAAATGTATAATAGTTGAATACGTTAAATTTCGCTGTGAATTTCCACATGTGTCGCCGTGTCGGTAATAACAGTCGGCCACATTCTGATGATTGTCATCATTGGTATATCCCGTTAATATGGTTACGATTGATTAGACATAGTTCGAACGCATTTCCCAATTTCCCAACGTGTCACAATACTTTTCATCTAAATGTTATTGACGAAACAGTCACACATCAGACATAAAACTGCAGTGTGCTTTTCCGTAAATTATTCGTTTTCTAACCAATAATCAACATTATTTATAAAAATCAGATTTTTCAAATTATTGCTGATGACCTTTACAGTTCTTGTATAGTATAGAATTTAAGAACAATACAAAATAAAATAAATATGGCGAATGAATAAAGTAAAAATAATTTAAATCTAGAAAAACGTGATTAACGGCGGTAAGAGCCCGATGGGGACTGAAGTACTCAAATATACTAAAGATTATCATAAGTAAACAATTATTAATAATATTAAAAAACACATTTACGTCTTATATGTATGAAACTAAAACGGTACGTACATTTAAATAAGTAACTAAACATTTTCAAAATTAAAAAATATTCTTAACATACCCTTAGGTATAAATATGTTTTCGGGCTGGGTACAGATATTTTTTTTTTATAACCGATTGTTCCTAACCGATTTTGTTGTCATGGTTACTTATTAAAAAAAAACATATTTATGATTCATAGATTTTCCTTGTAGAGAAAAAATATCGAGTAGCATGCATTTTTTTTTTATTATTGAAAATGTTTTATTTTAATTTTAATCGGGATGAATCATAACAATAAAATAATAATTGGCTTATATAGAATTTAATATAAAAACTTTACACGTTTCCAAACAATGTAGCATATTTTAATTAAAATTTCCCTCTAGGTATAAATATTTTTTTCTTTTCAATTTGCTATAATTTTATTACAGAATATGCAATGACACTACAGGTACCTACTTAAGTTGAAAGCGTCTTTTACGCGGTAAAAATTAATTTATCTGAAAACGATTATTTTAGATTACCCTAAATAGAATGAAAGTATATTGAAGAACACAAATGGTTTACGTCTAAGTTCACAGTAGGTATTATATTTAATGTTCATCTGAAATTAAACGAAAATGTTATATTTTTTTTCTGAAGTGAATAATTCTGAAAAAAAACACAAGCAATCAAATTGAAAAATAATATACATATTTCGATTTTTCGAACAATGTTATTTTTAAAGAATACGTAATTTTATTATAAATATCTATTTTATCGAATTGATCCGCTACAACTCGTATAATTTAATAATTTAATTTTTCGAGGCAATAAATTATTAAGAACAAAAAAAAAAATCAATAATCAATTTAGTAAACATTGGCGATATACAACAACCATGTAGGTATATAATATTATGTTTATCCACTAAACGAGATTCATACATTTTTAATTTATTATTCTCAAGTGCAGTGTAATACAAAATGCAAAACAATATTGAACACTTGAACTACCATAACTACTGTAGTTGTTATAATTTTTGTGTGGTTTTTGTTTACATAAAATATACAGCGTATGCATTAATGAGAATGGTTCTATATTGTATTGATCTTAATTATAGTATGTGGTAGGTACTTGTGCAAATTATAATCTAATATTAAAATGAACAATACAAAATGAATAGCATTTTATTATTTATAGTTGTTATCAACCACTGTCGTAATATGAAAATAAAGTACGAGTTCGACGAATATAGGTAATATACTAAGTTTGTATTTACTTGGAGGTTAAATTATATTAATTTCATATTATAATATCTAATGATTGGTATGGTGAAACACATTTCACGATACGTCAGTCGGACCATTGTCACTATTCTCCAACCAACGACGGTGAAAATGCATGCATAGGTGAATAGGTACTATTATATTTTTAAAGAAGCTCAAAAAATTACAAAAACACATCGACTAAATTGCAACAAAACAAGAACACATGCCAACTAAATGGTATTCAATTAGTTTTTGAACAACAGTGTGACTAAAATTAATAGGACAAACAAAATCATGCGGTGCAAGTTTACTGATGATTAAAACAAGACATAACTTAAATGTTTATTGCTTTCAGTGCTAGTATTTTGCAAACGATCAACGAGAGAAGACGTGGTCGAACGAACATACTTGAAGTGCTCCCATAGTCCCATGCTATTTTAAAAAAATATATTATTTAAGAATTATTGGTACTCTGAATTTTTTCTGATAAGAAAGAGCTGCCCCTCCACGGTTCACCTTTAATCCGTTTTTTAATTTTTCATTATTTAACTACCTACGTTCGACTTGATATGAACACAGGGACCTATCTATTATTATTATTATTATACTTTTGTACTCTACAGTGAATTTACCAAAGTGGTTGGGTTCTGTAGTTCCCGAATTTTATTCTCTACAACTATTCTCGATATACATCTACTCTATACAGGGTAGTTCTCTTGGGTAATATTTATTTAATATTCCATGGTTAGTGGGGTGGGTTATGGGATACACGATAACGTCATGTTTACTGCTCGTATTGAGTATTTGCATTTTTTCACAAGGTATCGAAAGAGTATACTCACTCTACACACGACCACCGAGTCTTGTCCTCTCCATGATATTTTGATTGGCTCGTATGTTCTGTCAACAAATCTGGTCGATTGATGTAATGATGCCATTACTGATATCCAGGCGACGCACTTAAGAACTCGTGGCATTGTACACCATGTCCTCGCCACTGGTGCATGGCACACGTATATGTACCTACGAGCAACAAAGAAAATGTCGTTATTATTAAAATATATATTTAATTTTCACCAAAAACAATACAAATATATTATTATAGAATGTATAGTGCGTATTGTACAATATTTATATAACATACTGCAGTATACGTGGAAAAAAATTGTTTTCGCCATTGAACGAATTCAGTTTAATTAATTAATATTACATTTTGTGTAAACGCTTTGGATATAATTCAGTTAATCATTCGGGTGATTCAAAATTGTGCTCGACACTTATTGGATGTACCTTTTTTTTTTTGTTTAATTTTTTTTTACACCATTGCATATTACGTTACTCGGAACAAAACGAAAAAATATATGCATGCAATTTATCTGTGCATTACAAAATTAATTAATTAAATCATAGTATTTAAAATTGTCAACAAAAAAACAAAACTATTTTAGAAAGTTTTTCCCACCATTCTAAATATTTTACACTGAATAGATCATTATGAACATTTATCTGAACGGTTTCATTTATTATACGTACGTACACGTCTACGCACAATTATTATACCTATATAGTTTAAACGAAATTCTGTGCAAAGAAACCGATTCCAACATTTACAAACCAAACTTCTTCGATCTAAAAAGTAGCCTTCCACCACATAGTGAAACATATGTAGATGCATCCAAAAGCACAGAAGGAACTGCAATCTCAATAATCCAGCCAAACTCCTAAACAGCTTTTCAGATTCCATCATACAACTCAATTTATACAGCAGAATATCTAGCTCTTTTCAAAGCCACAGAATTAGCTGCCTCCTCAGATATTCAATGCACAGCTATATACACTGACTCTATCAGAGCTCTCAAAAACTAAGAACCCCCCCCCCCCCAAAAAAAAAAAAACCCAACCCTATTTGCATCCAAATATTGAAAATTCTATTTAGAGCCAAAAAAGACATTAGATTCTTATGGGTGCCTTTACACAACAATAAACTTAGAAATTAAATTGCAGACGAGATAGCCAAAAGAGCAACCAATGAACCAACTGATTTCTGGAATATAACAACCCACTTCGATATAAAGTACCAAATAAGCACTAACCTAAACCAAATATGCCATCAAGAATGGAGATTAGTACAAAATAAAAAAATACATATTTTATTCGTCGATTAACTAAGTTTCATATTAAGTGATATATTTGACATTCATTTAGGACTTATTTGTTTACTGTCAAGTATAATTAAATTTCAAATATTTTTTAAAATTAAGTATTATACAAAACAGTAGGTATCTGGTATACGAGTAAGTATATTATCAAACAAGGATGTGTTTACACAATATTTACAACTAATACTTATTTATACAGAAATAAGATAAATAATATTGGGTTTTCAAAATTAAGATGGTTCTCTTCGTTTTTTCATCGATGGAAAATTATCATTTAAAATATTATATTTTTAATTTTTTTAGGGTTGAGGCTTCGACATCTGAGGTAATTAGCCTATGGAACTGTTTGAGAGGGTACTGTAGGTTATGAATATATGTGTGCTCGTTTTGGCAGAATTTTTAAGTGGGCACCCGTAGATAATATCTTCCATGCCCGGGTGGGGGATGGCGGCCTCTCTCTCCGGACACCCATGACTGCCCGAAGAAAAATGCCACCCTTGGCCGAGTTCGAACCGTTGACGGTGTGCATCGTAACCGAAGCCTTAGTCCCCTCGGCCGCTCCGTCCATAATATTTTATTTTGTATATTTACATTTAAAATAAACAATAATTTATGCACTATAATTATATGGTTTTAATACTATAAAAAAAATCGAATTTCATAAAACACGGGTTCACGAATTATAGATGTGGATGAAAATGTTTCAGCGGGAGAGTTGCAATCACAGGCGAGTCACTAATCGCTTTAGAGTTTAATCACCAAATTACGTGACTTGTAATATGTGCAAAATGAGGTCAAATTACGGAATCAATTAAGTACACTTGGTTTTGAAATACACCATAATAATCAGATTGAAGCAATAATAATTGAAGTACGAAGTACTCCAAAGACATAAAAACCATAGGTATTACAACTTATAAAATATACGGTCCATGATTTTATAAGTAAATTTAAAAAAAAAACGCATTCATTGTTAAAATCACATGTCGTTTATTTAACTATAATATAATATTATTACTTTAAGGGGTCTGTTAGGTATAATAATTTTAATGATAAAATTAAACTTTGGTTTGGAATATAAATATATAATATCTTAATATATTCATTAAATAGGCTACTCATATGTAAAATGGAAGTACATAAGTACTACATTTCATTGCTTACTTTTATAGTAAATTATAATAATTTTGAAATTTCTACAAAAAAAATGTATTTTCAAACATACGTAATAAATATTGATATTTTTTTGAATGTTTAAAAACAATTCAATTTACTTCGATATTTGATTTTGACATAATCTATCGAACACTAAAGTTTTTAAAAGAAACATAGTAAGAACAACTTCAAAGAAATTCTATACTTATGTTATTTAAGCCAAAAGTGTTAAAATTAAAATGTTATGGACTACTAATTACGAAATAGTTTAGAAATATTCATGATTTTGCCAACATTTGAACTTTAAACGCTTATTGCTTATATAAATAAAAATAATATATTTACTGTTTTTGAAATGTTTTAATAATTATTGTAAGACATTTATATGAGTAACGTTGTACTAAATGTTCAAGCTTTTTAACTTTAAAATGAAAATTTACCTATACACATATAAATACTTATATAAATCAGGAAAAGAGTAAAAAACGTAAACAATTTAAAATATACTTACTTACATAATATATCACACAAAGATCAAAAATATATTAAAATTATAATATGTTTGGAAATAATTATATAAATATTTAGTGAAAAATTTAGTCTCTAAGATGGTGGATTTTTTCAGAAACTGGTGTGCTTAAATATTCATATTTTTCTGTAATTTTTTTTAGTTTTCTCAATTATTTGTAAAAGTAATGGGAATTTTCTACTCTCGAAGTTGAAAATTACAAAAGTTCAAAAGCTGATGAGTAATGACATACACACACACACTCACACAAATAAATGGTTGTAAAACCAATTCCATCACTAAACACAGAATATAAAAATAAAAAATTGTATTTCATATCAAAATAAAATAAAATATTTAAATTAATTCTAAAAACTACTTTATAAAATAATTTTATCTAAACAGCTATATTATATTACATTATACAATGAAACTATAAATTGTTGAACTCAACTAAGAGCACTTTTATTCTTATTGAATCAATTGTTAGTTTGTAACTTATATGTATTTAATTTAAAAAAAAAATTGTTTTTGTTTATTTTTAAAAATTTTCACACGAGTGTACATTTTGATTAAAGTACTTCATATTAATCTCCAGACAAAATTACTGTGCAGAAATCGCTTATATTTTACATGTGATTTATTATTTATTATTTTACATACGATTCTTACTAAACTGAAATAAATTAGTTTTAGATTATACCTTAACACGCTCTCCCAATTCAATATATCTACGTTTGAACCTTTTCATTTTAAAATAAAAACGTAGGTAAATGTGCAATGTGCAAAAAATGTCCGTTTGCCTTTTACGTTCAAATATTTTTCACAATCATACTTAAAATATGAATTATAGCGTTTTTGTTGCAATATAAAATAAATCAATATTGTGATATTTATATTATAATTTATAAAATATAAAATAAATCAACAGTTTATTCTGATTTTTGTACATTATTATAAATATATGCTATGTATATTTATTTTATACCCTGCTAAATGTATTAAAATTTGATTTAACCTATAAATTTCCATAATGTATTTACATTTATCTGCATCAAAACTTTTATTATTATGTTATGTAAAATCCGTGTTTATGGGTTAGTGAATAAGGCCTTCTAATATGTATAATTGTATATTTTTGTACTAAAAAATTATTTTTTAGCAAGTTTGAGTATAAATTTAAATAATAATTGGAAAGAAATAGAAATAGATATACAGGCATTATTTATATGTTTATTATTAAGTCATAGAAAATTACTAACATTTAGCGTAAAAAGTCAACGAATAATATTTTTTGAGTGTATTTTTAAGTTTCCGAAATAAAAAAAAATCATAAGATCTTTTGATAAATGTCTAATGCAATTTACAAGTGGCGTCCTTCAATAGTACTTTAATTGTTACAAAATGATAACTTTTCCATGAAAATGTGAGAAAAGATCCATAAGGTGTTTCAGGCATGTAACTTTGAAAATCAAATAAACATTGTTGCAGTTTTCGATTAGAACTTCATTCATGCATTAGCATTGTTGATTGTCGACATAAACAAATAATATTACAGTATCTATAAATAATAATAGAAGTAGTATAAAAGAAGTTAGTAAAAACGAATTGCTCTTGTATAACAAAAACTATTAAAAAGTACAGAAAAAACGTTCACCAGTCTCAAGTGAAAGTGAAATTTAATACTTTTTATTTAATTTAAATAAACCTACTCGATTCACTGCGCGAGGTTTTTAGTGTGGTAAAAATAAAGGGATCGTTATGATGTCTATCTGCTTTGGACGAAGGAAAATTATATCAATTGTAATGTTACAATCTGTTAATTTTTTGAACAAGACCTAATCTAACTTTGAAAGTTTGGTTTGGTTATAATGACAAACCAATGAAATAAAAATATTAAGGTATCTACTGAAGTTTATAAAAAACGATAAATAAGTAAAATTATTCTTAGGCTAATATAATATTTTTCGTATCATTTTTTCAAAACAATATTTAAAAGTTCAGTTTTGGGTTTGATATAAGTACAATTAATAATATTAATATTATAATGGTTTATAGTTCGATTTGGATTTCAATAAAAATGATCGATTTGGTTATTGAGTTCGTTATATTAAAAATTGAATTTGTCCTCAAAAATTAGGTTTGTATATCTTAG